ATTGCAGAGGCATGTAAGAAAAAAGATAATAACTACAGCGCGTAGATTTTTTTTTTTTTTTTTTGTGTGCTGAGGGGGTGGTGGGGGAGGGAGGGGAACACCTGTAGCAGGTCTAGGTCTTGGGTCAAAGTCTCGAATCTATTTCTCGCTTCTTTCCATCCAATTAACAGGAAGGATATAAGAAAAAAGAAAATAATTGCTGCGGGTCTAAGTCAAGATAACTCAGATAATTACTTATCTTTCTCCACACTTCACTTTAGAATAATTGGATGAAAAGAAGAGACATAGATTTCGACCCTTGTAGTCTTCGTCAAGATGGCAATATTAGGTGACTTTAGTATCACTATCACCTCAGATTAGGGGAACATAAACTCAAATGATAAGAAAAGGGGTTTAAATTTCTCCATAACTTTATATCACTATCTGGAAAGAAGAACCCGCTTACCACGAAGTCCAACATGTGGAAAAAATCTTCCTTGGTAGGCAGGTAATGTCTAGCAAGTAAATGATTGAAATGCACGTAGACTCTGAGCAAATTAATTTATAAACAGAAATTTATTTTGGTCGATTTCTTTCTTTAAGATATATCAATAGATAGCACTGGCTGTAGGTTATTTCTTGCTAGTCGCTGCATACACATACAAGCATGTTTCGATTCATTATTATTTGAAATTTTTTTTACTTGAATCACAAATAAACTTTTTAATAATTTTTTTGTTATCTCAATCATTATTTTTTTCACGTACATCATGCCATAAGAAAGTGTCATAACAATTATTCTAAAAATGTCATTACCTAACTCTACAGTTAAAAGCAATTGGTTCGTTATGCACTTATTTGATTCTTTGACAGTTTATTTTTCTAGTTTTAGGTAGAATTTCATTGTTTTTATCCCCTCTCTTTTCTTTGATTCATCCTCCACTGATAACCTTCTAAATCTGAAATCGAAATAAATATAATGAAACTGGCTCTAGTGTAGTCTAATTAACCTAAACGCATTGATCATACAATAGACCGAGGTCATGCAATGTACTATAAATTCCACGTTTTCAAGTCCTTAGTATTATTGTTGAAGTCTTTCGTCCAAAATAAAGACTTTGGCATCATCTCGGTGGAATACCTTAGATGGCCTATAATTAATTATTTAATCCAAGAATTGTTGCATTTCAATTGATAGTGATCTAGGCTGACGAATACCCTGTACGAGTTAATTAAACCAAGTTTTCTTGTTGGTTGCTTGGGTTAAATTCCTTTTAAGACAAAATGGGCAGAAGGTACTAAGAAAGTACTCAGGTGCCAAGTCCCATTTGGGCTCCAATCCGAGGGGAAAAAGACATGTTGGCTGTGCGGCACAACCGTAGGAATAACGCTTTAGACTTCGAAGTCTAAAGGATCCTTTTATCTTGATAAAGTAAAATTTACTCTAGTATTGAAAGTAGTACAGTATCATTAAAATTTTTCATCCGGGCTCTTTTTTATTTGTTTATTTATTTTCAAATTTTTTATACGAGGATAGTAAGTTGTCAAATGTTTCACATAAAGTTAGTAAACATGAAGAAATATATATTTACTCCCAATTGTAGGATAATTAACCATATTTGATTGAGCTTGGTTTTTCCCCCCCTAAATATGTTGCATTTTATCCTTAGTAGTTAGGGTATAAGGAAATTTTAAAAATTGAGAAAAGTTTGTATAAGGAAATTTTAAAAACTGAGAAAAGTTTATCAATAGCACGTATTGTTGAAAGATAAACAAAATTACTTAATATTCGAATCAAGTTTAACTCAATAAGAAATCATTTGACTTTGGTTCGTCAATTAATCAAGACAAATATGAATAGCATTTTGCATTCAATAAAGTTTACAACTCAGCTTGAATTTGATTTGATTAGTATGAATCTTGAAATATACGCAAAAAATTCAATCTATTCAATCTTGACTCAAGTTTGCCATAATAAAAGCTTGTTTCAATTCGATTCAATGTATAAGTAAGTCAAAGTTGAACATAATTTTGACATATTAAAATCACTAAGTAAGTTTAAACATTAGATTATTCGGCTTGATTAGATTTTTTTTTTACATCCTAAAGCATGGAGTGCTACATTGGATTTATATATTGCATGTTTAGTCACAAAAAATGCATCTTCTTCTATCCTATATATTGATGTCCAACACTTCTGCCTCTGTTTGCAACTGGACTGGAATCACTTGTAATACTCGTCATTTATGATACATATTTCTTTTATTTTAAAGTTTTTAATTATTAATACAAGTAAAAAGTAAATAAATAGAACATTTTAGCCATTAATTATTCATGGTGCAAAACAATAAATTTGAATATTATGCGAAATTTGAGAACAGCTATGAAAAATATAAGAAGCCTGTAACAAACTAACGGGATGAATAAATGAAATAAAAAGTGAGAGAAAAAGAAGAAAAATAAGTTTAATCAGTTTTTGCATGTTTTCTATTACAGAATTCCTACTACACATCGAACACAATTTCAATCTAATTTGCAAATCATTTCAATTTAAAACTCTTAGTTTTAGTATTTATAACTTGAGGTACTATAATGATCCAAATTCGAATTATTATAGACCAAAATTCAAAAGTCAAAACGGATGACTAATGGCAATTTGATTATTACTATTGGTAAAATCAGAAACATTGAGAATCTAATTTCCTACCACTTTGGTTCGCGAACCAAACATGATGACCGAAGCATTCTTCGCTTTATATGATTCCGTGAGTTGGGCTTCCTATGAAGGACAAGTCGTTGCTGGCACAAGATAATTGCAGTATACAATCACTTCATTACCATACATTTATGGTAGGAAGCCTTTCATCATTCCTACTGTAAGTAATCTCTCAGAGTCTTTGACCATTCCAAATCTGAGTTCTTAATTTTCTGACTGTGCAATTGGATTACTATTTCTTGAAGTTTTCATAGGACAATAATTTGATGTATATGAAATAAAATAATAATTAAAAAATATGTTCATAAAAAACGTAAAATTTCTTTAAAAAAAAAAAGTCAATTCAAACAAGGTCTAATCCTCACGCACAGCACCGAACAACGCTAAAGTGACTTCAATCAGCCGATGTAGTGCTTCTTCTTTTTTTCTTTTTCTTTTTCTTTTTCTTTTTTTTACTAACTTTTCAAACAAGGCCTAAATCGTACGCACAGCACCAATCAATCGACGCCAAAGTGACTTCTATCATCCGATGTAGTGCTTCTTCTTTTTTTTTTTTTTTTCTAACTTTTTTCTTGATCTACTTTCCAAGGCAAGATGATTGATCAACATAAGAACAAAGTGAAGAGAAATAAATAAATGAAAAGAAAAAGTTTGATAGCTAATGGGTACCTACTCACGAAGCTTAATTATAAAGAAAAATAGGAGAATCGATTGTAGTTTCCTTCTCTAGGGGAACTTTTTCTACAAATAAAGCGAAAATGTAATTTGGTCAACCCACTTATGCCGTAGACTAGATTCATACAAGAGTTTCCAGTCAACTGCCTTCCTTTCATACAAGAGTAGTTCTTGGCAAAAACTTGTGTTTGGACACAATGGCCCACGGAGGCTTAGGACACTTGCTCTGCATCTTCTCTTCTTTTATCCTTCAATTTATTTTTGTATAGAGATTTTCAAACACATAATAATTTTACCTTGGCTTGGAGTAGTATCCCTTTCATCATTCCTGGAAAATTATTATACTCAAAATTCAATTTTGCCACATAGAACGCTAGAGTATGATTGCTTGTCATATCAATTGCTCAAAAGTTGAAGAATACATTAAAAAAAAAAAGCTAGTTTCAAATTGTGACAAATTAAAAACATAAGTCTCAGAGATAGAATCAAGCTATATATTAATTCACCAAATTGAGAAACAGATTTTCCATAAATTACTTCCTGTTTTGCCAGCGTACTATAGAGAAATCTAAAAGAAGAAAAGAATTTAAACTAGCAAACATATCAAAATAGAGGATCTTCAATTTGTCACTTCCTGGTGGAAACATGTTAACTCAACCCCAAGTATATGCCTATATAAGTCCTGCCCAATGTCACAATTTATGCTCATGTTTTATTTACCTTTTGTTTGGCATTCCTCAAGTTTTATTTACCTCTATATAAGCAATGCAGAGAACTTATTTTCTTTTCGTTGCAGCCTTGGTACTGTTGCACTTTATCGCAACTAGCTCAGCTAGCATAATTGTAGCCAACAACCATAACAACAGTGCTAGTGATCTGAATGCTCTTCTTGCCTTCAAAGCCACCATTTTCGATCCTCAAAGGATTATCCCAACCAACTGGTCCACTTCTTCCTCTGTTTGCAACTGGATTGGAATCACTTGTAATGCTCGTCATCACAGAGTCGCAGCCATCAACCTTTCTTACATGGGAATTGTAGGAACCATACCTCCAGAACTGGGAAATCTTTCTTTCCTAGTCTGGCTAAATGTTAGAAATAACAGCTTTCATGGACATCTTCCAACCGAGCTATCTCGTCTCCATCGATTGAAGTACATCAACCTTGCAAGCAATGACTTTGAAGGGGAATTTCCATCATGGTTGGGATGTTTGAGTGCACTCTGGTACATCAACTTCGAATACAACAGATTTTCGGGTTCATTATCAGGCAGGCTCTCTAACTTCACAAAGTTAGAGACCATCAGGTTGGATTACAACTTTTTCACTGGAAATCTTTCAGAAGAATTCAGCGCTCTACCGAAATTGACAGTTTTGGACATTCAATTTAACCAACTTGTAGGCCCTCTGCCACAGGCTCTGTTTAACCTCTCCTCATTGCAAATTATTGGTTTTACGAATAATAGCTTATCGGGCTACCTTCCAGCACATATCTGCGATTATCTCCCACAACTTAAAGGGCTTTACTTATCACTTAATAACTTTGAAGGTGAAATTCCATCAGGTATCGGAGAATGCTCAGGACTCCAAGTTTTATCCTTGTCTTACAACAAATTCAGAGGGTATATACCAAGAGAAATTTGGAATCTGACCACGCTTACACGTTTAGTTTTGGGTGGGAATGACCTGACAGGTAAGCTGCCAACTTGACTTTGTTTATTGTGTAGAGTACAAATTAAGACTGAAAATCCATCATAACCCAATGAAAATTGTTCAAAAACCATTTTAACCCATTGAGAAATTTTCATTGGGTTTAAAGGATTTTGAGACTAGACTCATAATTGCATGAAAAATTTACATCACATACACTATTTCTGATGATTGCTAACTGCTTAAGTATTGGTGCAAACTTCGTGTGAATAAAGAAGTTTTTGTTTTCAACAAAATACAGATAAAAGTTAGGAAATAAAAAACTCAAAGCATGGCGGACATTTGAAACTTCATGGCTTAGCCGTCTATGAAAGAAAACGTAAAAAGTATTAATTTCGATATGCATATTTAGATGTTATATCAATTTTATTTCTAATTTATGCATACATTTAAAAATCCATTGACATATGAATATAGATTGTCACAATTTTTGGGAGTGTATGTAATTGTCATTTTGCCAATATTTATGAGAGATTTACTGTTTGAAACTAAACTGAAGATCCTTAGAATTCTGAAATGCATATATATTATATACATATAATTATGCCATGCCATTAATTATATTTATCATCATGCCGTGATTTTTGAGCAGGTGAAATTCCAAAAGTCATTGACAATCTCTATAATTTGGAGAAACTAGGCATGGAGAATGCTAATGTGACAGGTAAAAATCTTGATACATTTTGGCATGAGATCTATTTCATTATTCCATCATTAGAATACTTTTCTCAAACTTGAATTTGAGCTTGAAGTCGAGCGAGTTCAAATACAAATCAAATATGGCTCTTTCTCATACGGCAATCGGTCAGTCATACTAGTGCACTGCATAAGCTAAAAGGATTCCAATTGATCACTTCAAAAATAGAGATACTGATAGGAAGATGTAGGCATGTCGTGAATTCCAAATCGTGAATTTCCAAGAGCTAAACAAATGATATCCAAGAGTTTTGGCATGTCGTCATGCTTTAATTATTGTTAGCAGCTTGGTTGACAAACTTCGAATTACAAGATGCAAAATAACGCCAATTACCTGACCACTGCGAACTAGATGAATTGAGGGAGTTAGCTTTTTAATGGGCAACGATGTTTATAAGCTACACTAGTTTATGCTTAGTTCATCTTTATCGTTTTGTATTCAAATGCTGGCAAGCTTGTAAACCGTAGTGCTTAATATTACGTATTTCCCATATATGTCCATTTTCTCATTACTTACCTCTTTCTTTGACCAAATTGTTTCACGTCGAATACCTCATTTTCTTGTTACCAATTTGATTTGTCAGGTATACTACCTCAAGAGGTTGGTAATCTGAGCAAGTTGGAAGTTGTACAGTTGACCTCAAATAGGTTGAGAGGTCCCATCACGTTGAAACTTTTCAATATTTCAACACTACAATTCATTTCCCTCTCGGAAAACAGTTTTTCAGGCGAGCTTCCATCGACTTTAGGTGTTTTCTTACCCAATCTTGAGGAACTCTATCTTGGGGAAAATACATTCACTGGAGCTATACTAACATCCATCTCAAATGCTTCTAGGCTCAGAGTACTAGACATTGGCGGTAACCATTTTACTGGTGCAATTCCTCATTCTCTTGGAAACTTGAGATTACTAGAAGTCTTGTCCGTAACAAACAATGATTTTTTTGGGGACTTGCGATCCAACGGGTTGAGCTTCATTACGTCTCTTGCAAATTGCAAGAATTTAAAATCTTTGAGGATTACTGGGAATCCTCTGAATGGCTTCCTCCCAAAATCTACCGGAAATCTTTCCAGCTCACTCGAATCCTTTCATGCAGGTAGGTGCGGAATCAAAAGTGAAATTCCAAGTTCGATTGGTAATTTGAGCAACTTAGTAGAACTGTACTTTGAAAACAATAGTTTGACAGGGTTAATTCCAGCTACAATGAAATGGTTCTTGAAGCTTCAGAGGATAGATCTAAGCGACAATCAAATACTAGGTGCTATTCCAAGTGAGTTCTGTAATTTGCTGAACTTAGGAGAATTAGGACTCGGACAAAATAAGCTCTCTGGTATGGTGCCTTCTTGTTTAGGAAATGTTACAACACTCAGATACGTTTATCTCAATTCTAACAATTTAAGTCCTGTGATACCAACAAGCTTTTGGAGCCTTAGAGATATTTTGGAGCTAGACATGTCAGGAAATTATTTGACAGGTTCTTTGCCTGCTGAAATTGGAAACTTCAAGGCATTAGTTACATTGAACCTGTCAAATAATCAATACTTGGGTGGGATACCTAGCACTATTGGAGTACTACAGGATTTGCAAGAACTATCCTTGGAGCACAACAAGTTACAAGGATCGATACCAGATTCCATGAAGAATATGCTGCAGTTACGGCATTTGGATCTATCTTTTAACCATCTGGAAGGTGTAATTCCCAACTCATTACAGGTACTATCAGATCTCCAATACTTTAATGTGTCTTACAACAGATTGAGAGGACCGATTCCTCATGGAGGGCCATTCGCAAATTTCACGAACCTGTCTTTTCTCTCAAATGAAGCATTGTGTGGCGCTCCTTGGCTCCAACCTTGTGCAAGTACATTTGAGCATGAATCAAGGACAAAAAGGCTAGTCATGGTTGTTCTGTTGACATCAGGATCTGTCATATTAGCCTTGGTGATTTCAATTTTTTTGATACGGTTAAAGTTGAGAAAGAAAATTCTAGCTCCAACTCAGAACTTGCTTCCCATGGCGGCATTTGAAAGGGTGTCCTTCCATGAACTTAGACAAATAACAAATGGATTCAGCGAGAGTAACTTACTTGGCTCGGGGAGCTTTGGTTCAGTTTACAAGGGAATTTGTGAAAATGGGATGGTATGGGCCATAAAGGTATTCGATTTGCAGCTAGAAGGTGCATTTAAAAGTTTTGATAGAGAATGTGAAGTCTTAAGCTGCCTTCGTCATCGAAATTTAACTAGAGTAATTACTGCTTGCTCTAGCCTTGATTTTAAGGCTTTGGTGCTCGAGTACATGCCCAATGGAAACCTTGAGAAATGGCTTCATGTAAACCATCATGTCCTAAGTATCAGGCAAAGGTTGGATATCATGATAGATGTGGCTTCTGGTTTGGAATATCTCCACTATGGCTATTTAATGCCTATAGTTCATTGTGACTTGAAGCCTAGCAATATTCTCCTAGATGAAGACATGGTTGGACATATTTGCGATTTTGGAATTGCAAAGTTGTTGGGAGATGGAGAATCTGTGATACAAACAAAGACTCTTGCTACATTTGGATATATTGCCCCAGGTGACTTTTCTTGATTCCAATTTCAAATTTTTTATGTCATTCAAATTAAAGTTTCAACTTTTAATGGCTAGTATAGTATATGAAATATAAAAAATTTTTGAAAAAAAAAATGCAAAATTGGTGAACTGGTACTAGTACTTGACTTTAACACCTAGTTTCAAATTTTTTGATGCTAGAGTATGGACTAGAAGGATTGATTTCAACAAGTAGTGATGTTTACAGCTTTGGGATTATATTGATGGAGACATTTACAAAAAGAAAGCCTAAGGATGAGATGTTTACGGAAGAATTAAACCTCAGGCGTTGGACACAAGAATGCTCGCCAGATTCTGTGACTCGGGTTATAGATGCAGACTTGCTTCATCCTGAAGATAAAACGGTACAAAGGAAGATTGAATGTATATCGTCTATCTTGCAACTTAGTTTAAGTTGCACGACAGATGCTCCTGAGGAGAGAATAAACATGAAAGAAGTTCTAGGAGCATTGCAGAAGATCAAACTTCAGTTTATCAAAGATATCACGCCTTGAAGTAGATAGTAATACCATTATATATGAGATAATCCGTTAGCAACTTTTTCTGCAATTGCATAGTATATCAAAGTCTCATTCCAAGGCTTACCATTCATTCAAGTAGTACTCATGTTTTTTCTACTGAATATATGGCAGAGCCCTGGAGTGCAAATGTATATGGAGGAACTCTTTGTCTTGCTTAAAGTTCAAGACGGGAATGAGATATGTTGTATTGCCAATAAATTTGTTTACAAATATGGAGACCTTAAGTTCAGGATCCCAATTTATATGTTGACTTGGTGTTTATGCTTGTCATACAAATATGGCAATTAAGGTGGTAATTTACATTTAGTTATTCATACATCTTTCCCCTTTTCAATTTTTGCATATAAATGAGAAACAAATTAATTGATTGTCAATATATACCACCATATGGAGGGGCACATAGGCATATGTGTTTATACATACAGAACATGACTGTGGCATGTAGATTCATGCGTTTAGTTAATTACAAAATTACATTTTAAAGGTGCGAAGAACAAAGATAGCAAAGTAGTTTTCTGACTTTTCTCTGCTACAATTTCTACTTAATTTATAGAAATTAATAGCACTTATTCAGGTCAAAATTGAAGGTTATTGTGGATTGATAATATCTTATTCAGAGCCCAGAATGTTAAAATTAATAATGTACCATTGCCTCAAGCTAGAAAATGGTGGGAACATTTGTTAAATAGCTCAATTTTGAGAAACTACGCTTAATGGAGTTCTTCAATGGATTGTTGGTGATTCAGGGAACAACTCGTTTCATACCTTCTCTTAACAGTAGATAGATATTTTTTTATAAAAATTTCAGCATGTTCCACCTCCTTGGTGTTTGGAAAATAGAATCATTTGACATGTGTAGGTATTGTTCATGGTTTGTTTTTTGTTATTTTGTCCCAAGCAAGTTCAATTCGAACCGTTTAGACCCTCAACCCAATCACTCCTTCCCCACCAAAAAAGAAAATATTGAAGACTAGTATTTTGTCTTTATTTTTAGGATGAAGTGGAAACTAGGAAGATAGAAAAAGGAGTCTGAATATTTAATTTTGCTTTCATGATGTGGCACAATCTTTACTGCTCAATCTACGAGTGAGGCCACCTATAGATCAAACCTACACAACTTTTTGCTCAAAAAATACATGATAAATAACGCATCTCTAAAATTACTTTTTTTTTTTATATTGTATACATTACGAAGCAGCCCATTTAGTTGCAAATTTTGCGGGGTTAATAGATAGACAAATGGGTTTTTAGGTTCAATTTGTGTGGACAATCGAATTGAACCAATTTATACACATGGGCTTAAAATGGAGAATCACAAAACCGCTTATCTGGCCATTCCATCCCCAATAGAATAGCCGAAAAAGGGCTGTGATTTTTGTATTTTTTTTTTATTCTTTGGAGTTGTTTCACACTTTCTGAAAACAAACTGTGAAACACGGACTAAATCAAATAGGCCCTCTTGGAGAGAACATTTACTCATTCTTGGCAAATTGATTGTATGATTCCAGAAAGCTCATTTTAGCACATAAGAAACGCTTTTTCCCCCAATATGTAGAAGATGGCCCCGGCCTCCAGCCTATCATTTTGTCCTTTTTCCCCACTTTTTCAAGTCTCAGAAATTCTGGCTGCTGTATAATGGATCACACGGTGACTGTATCTTTTCCCTGTAGACATCAAAGTCTTGGAAATGTCCCCTGCTTCCTTTTTCCACAATAGTATGATGTCCTCAAAATAATTTGGGAAAATAAAAATAAAAGAATAGGAATATTAACAATCTCTAAGTAGGTTGTAAATTTTAAAAAATTTGTAACTGGGACATTGATTATTACTCACAAATTAAAGCAACTAATAATTTTATTGCTAAATAACTAAATTACCCTCATGACAATTGTGCACCTTACTGAATAAGATTTTTATTTTGATAAATATAAATATACGTGCAATATGCAAATATGATTTTTCTTTAGTTTTTTTTTTTCATGTAAGGAGGAGGTTTTAAATTTAGGATTTCCTATTTACAATCTCTCTCCCCTTATCACCTAACCCAACTCCCACCTCATATGCACATATGATATATGTGCAGATACAAGTGTACACATAATGGTTAATTTGTCATTTAGCTTGCAGCAAAATTTTTTTCTATAATATATGAATAATAACCCTTACCTCATTTACAAATTTTCTAAAACTTACACCCTGCTTATGAATTTTCACTCTTCTTATTCCCTTTTTCCTAATTTTTCCATACAATTAAAGGGAAATAATTGGCTTAATTAATTTAGACAATCTAAATTCTGCGCTATAAAAGTATAGCTAAAAAAAAAAAAAAGTCCATATGAAAAATTATTCACACCAACAGTGCAATACTTGTCTAAATCCTGTGCTATAAAAGCATAACAAAAAAAAAAATCATAAAAACAATCAATTATACCAACTCTGTAACAAAAATATTAATCTTTTGTCTTTTTGCATGTGAACTGGGAAGGAAGAGCTTGACCCACAGATACAATAATATGACTTAGATATCGTAATGCTTGACTCCTTACATCACTCATCTTTTATCATCCATTCCTCAACTTTAAATCACTCATCTTTTATCATCCACAGATACAATAATTGTCTCCGATTAGTTCAACTTTTGCAGAGTCAAGATTCTCAGCATCCTCAAGTTTGCTGGTAAAAATTTCAGGTACAATGAGATCATATCCATCACAATTTTGTATTGTCGGAGTTGTTCCTTATTTGATCAAGTACATGATAGCTTTACTTGGCACAAAAATCTTAGTTCAATTGTCTGAGTCTTAATTCAACATCTTTGGAGTTGCTTCTTAGTAGTGAAAACTAACGAAAATATAATACACGCTTTAACGTGCCGAATAAGGGCTGTGACTTTTCCTTCACTCAATCTTGACTTTGTTTAAAGCTCCACTTGGTTTTTCCAACAAAAAAAAAAAAAAAAAACTCCACTTGGAACCAAAATGTACTAAATAAAAACGTTTTCACTTGTATTTTATTAGTTAATTGCCATGCTTGTCCTCCACTTTGGAGATCATAATATGCATGCTGCTTCCTTCTTAGATTTGTTAAGGAATATACATGCTTTTAGCCTTAATATGATTTGTCCTAGCATGATTAGGATAAATTTAAAGCAAATGGTAAGATGGGATGTAAAAAGATACATTTGTATGAGAACTGGAAGAATAATCCACATAAAGAAAGTATAGTGGATATGCGATTAACGAGAACATTCTGCACACTTCAGCTAAGACTCCCCACTTGTCTTATGAAAGACAGATTTTCATACCCATTTTGACATTGTCTTTCTCTGATTGTTATTGCCAATTGCAGCTAAAAGTAGAGGGAATGTGGGAATATTATATGCATGCTTGATTTCTTAATTGGGTCAAACTTTTGAGTTGTTTAAGGACAAGTGCATTGATTCAGCAACACAAAAATTAATAAACAAGAAAATTGAACCACAAATCTGTTCAGGATTTGATGACTTGAATAGCCACTTTTTTTTTTTGGCTCCACTTAATAGCGTTTGTTAGATAACTTGCACATTGAGATACATATAATATAGTACAGAAAATATGTATTTTAACAACAGAGGACATACTTGATTCCAAACTCCAACCACAAGGATCAGTTAAAACTTGTCAATGTGGTTCTATACTCACAAAAATAACCTTGAGAGGCAACATGTGCCAAATATGAACCTAAAGGTACTAAGTTGGGGCAATCCCAAGGAGAAGGCCATGACTACAAATTGGCTAAACTTCTAATAATGCATCCAATGCTTCTAACTTACAAGAAATCTCTAACAAAAATGAAGAGTAAATTTACCAAGGTTAATGAATTTGGATTGCCAGAAAACTAGCTATAAGTTGATGCCTCTTTAGCTGAAGCAGAATATAGAACCGAATGTGATCCATCACCAAAAAGTTAAACTTGGCATGAACATTTGACATACAATTCCTGGATAATTACACGGATTAATTGCTTTACAGTTAAAATTACGAACGTTTGATAATGCATCAAATGTACAAAACTCCCTAAAAGTGACTGCATGTCAGGTCTTATCTTTCAGCTGCTAAAGAGAACTATTATAAAGTAGAGAGCCATTTTGTACATGCACCAGTTACTGTGCTAAGTGAACCTGTAACTTGTGAATCTTAATGATGTCCTCTTATTTCAACTTTAACCTTAACCATAGACCATGAACCACTAAACAATGTGGTGGAACAGCTTTCCACTTCCGGAGACATATCAGATCACCCCCAAGGTGACGTCCTACACTAATTTTTTGACCGTCTCCAAAACACAATCATGGCACTAACCCACATTCGGGTCCTGCACACATCGAAATGCATATACGGCATTATGCGTTCGTATCCCTCTGAGATTTTTTTATTAGTACACCGGTTTCCTCTAAGGTTTGCAAAGTTACACTGACCTTCCCTGGCAGCAATTTGGATCCAATTACTTACATCACGTGGTGTGAAATTACTACCATACTCAAAGACATTACGTTATGTCTTATTTGAAGACTAATATTTGACAAATGAGTAATTAGGGCATAAATTAATTAATTCCAATTGATTAACAAAAAATAACTGTGGTGAAGTCCATAATCAGAAACTATAACTACAATTACAAAAATATCACCATTTTGTGATTGATATCAGTAACAAGAACAACAAATCAGTCCTATACAATACGAGAAAAAGGCATCTTGTAGAAGAAAGAAAACAAAGGCCAAAGATGGAGAAAATAAAAGCTGAACATGAGGGGAATTTCTATTAAAACTTTTGAGGCTGTGATAGTAGCAAAGTGATTTAGTGGCTTCGAAGGAGAAAGAAGGGAGTATAAAGGCAAAATCTCAAATTGACAATCATAGCAATATAGGTAATCAATTCCTTGTTATCTCTGTCTAATACATGTTAGTTGCATATCACGAAATTTTCAGAGTTGATCGTCATAAATTAAAGGGCAAATTCCACTTTACCCCCCTGTGGTTTAGCGTTTTTTCACATAACCCCCCTATGGTTTCAAAAGCTATACATAACCCCCTTATGGTTTGGATTAAAGTGTCAGAGTAACGGAAATAGTCACTCGTAACAGCGTCACCTAAAATGTCAAAAATACCCTTATATAAGGTTGAAATTTATGTATTAACCAAGGGGGGTTATATGTAT